CGGCGATCGACGGCGCGATCGAGACGTCGGCGACGTAGTATGGGGCGGCGACGACGGGCGGCGGGGGGCGACGGCGCGCGGCGGGGGCGACGACGCGCGGCGGGGGCGGCGAGGGCGGCGGGGGCGACTGCATGGCGGCGGCGGCGATGTCGCACGACAAGAAGTGGTTGAAACTGAATTTTTCGTAAGTGCCATATATATAGGAGAGGCTTTTAGTACCGGTTGGAGCCACCAACTGGTAGTAAAGGCCAATTTTGGCCAGGCCAAGCGGCGGGAAACGGCCGCCTTTAGTACCGGTTCGTTACCCCAACTGGTACCAAAGGCCAACCCATTAGTATCGGTTGGAGCCACCAACCGGTACTAATGGTTATGCGCTGCCACCCGCGGTGCATTATGTTTAATCCCACCTCACCGAGCGAAGGGCAGCCGCACTGGTTTATAAACCCAGCCGCGGATGCTCCTTTGAACTCCTCTATATAGCAGGCTTCTGGGCCTAACTAGGGCGCTGCCATGTGAGCCTGCCGGCCCTTCTGGGCCTGAATTTGCACACCCTAGGTCTGCAGGCCCACTGGACAACGCCCCAACATTTTTTTGTATAGTTTTTTCTTTTCTGCATTATTTATTTTCTTCTATTTATTTTTGAGTAATTTTTTATATAGTTTTTCTTTTTTACTTTATTTTTTTCTTCTATTTATTTCTGAGTATTTTTTTTTAGTTTTTTCTTTTCTGCATTATTTATTTTCTTCTATTTATTTTTGAGTAGGTTTTTATATAGTTTTTTCTTTTCTGCTTTTTTTTCTTCTATTTACTTCTGAGTAGTTTTTTTCTTTTTTTCTTTTTTGCATTATTTATTTTCTTCTATTTATTTTTGAGTAATAATTTTATATAGTGTTTTCTTTTCTGCTTTATTTTTTTTATATTTATTTCTGAGTAATTTTTTAGTTGTGTTTTCTTTTCTGCATTATTTATTTTCTTCTATTTATCTTTCAGTAATTGTTTTATATAGTTTTTTCTTTTCTGCTTTATTTTTCCTTCTATTTATTTCTGAGTAGTTTTTTTTGCTGTATTTAGTTTCTTTGTGAATATTTTTATTTTAGCTCTCTAAACAAATTGGTAAATGATGACATCGCTTTGAATGCTGCATACTGAACACAAAAAAGTCTAGAGTTCAAATAAGTTTAAAAAAATGAAGTGCCCGTGTAACAGATGAGTTCTCGTCCGAAACCCGGATACTCCGAAAGAGATTGTCCAGTTTGTTATTGTCGTGACCCTCTCTACTCTTTCGCACATGCGGGTGAAATGATGATACCTTCAACATTTTCAGAGTTCGTTTTGTAGTGATTTTCAATTTCACGGTCATTTAGCTCTGATCTAAATAAATCGGTGACTGAAAAACAGTAAATGATGTCAGAACGTGTTGGAAATTGATGACGTCGCTTCGAATGCTGCATAATGCCAGCTCAAAAAAAGTCTGAAGTTCAAATAAGTTTAAAAAAATGAAGTGCCCGTGTAACAGATGAGTTCTCGTCTGAAACTCTGATACTTCAAAAAAGATTGTCATGTTTGTACACGAAGTGCGTCCGGTTTTGAAGTGAGTGGCGGGCGGCGGGGGAGGACCGGCGTGGGGGATTGAGGGGGAGACTAAGTGACTGGAGAGAGTGAGGGCGTAAACATGTAAAAATATACATAAAAAATACATTGATTATCAATGATCTTTTTGTGTACAATCTGAATTGTCAATATGAGTCCTCACCGGTTTAAAAACCGGTGAAGACTCATATTGAGTCCACAAATTATACACATAGAGTTCAATGAATACCAAATGCTTGTGATAGTTTGAGAAGTAACATACTTAAGGTGGTAAAAATCTTGCTAGGGGAGCGAGGTGGGACTAAAAATAGCCTGCCACAACCTCTTTAGTGCCGGTTCATGCCATGAACCGGTACTAAAGGTGCTGGCCGGGCCCCAGCATCTTTAGTACAGGTTCGTGGCATGAACCGGTACTAAAGGTTCGCACTGAACCGGTACTAAAGATCTCCTCCCGTCTGGCCATTTGAACCGGCACTAATGGACACATTAGTGCCGGCTCAAATGCAAACCGAGACTAATGTGTCTCACATTTGACTCTTTTTCTACTAGTGCTTAATGTAAGTCATTGGTATGTGTTGTTCTACTACCCTCCTCGTTGCATGTCGACATATTCTACATAGCCTTTGAATTATCTATAGTTGCACCCTGCAATTTTACTAGATTAATGAGCTTGGAAATGAGAAGATAGATCATTGTTTACTTTGCTACATTGAAATGCGTCAACCTAATATCACACAATACCAGCAAAAAAATCACACAATACCAGTTTCCTTTTTCCCCATATCTCTTTAAATCATTACAAAATTTCCTACAGCAACGCGCGGGGTACCCTCTAGTTATACAAATAAGTAGAACATGCATCTACGATGGCACAAATTCCCAGATCTAAATTCGATCCGCTGGACCCTATGGAACAAGTTTAGATCAAAATTTGATCGTCTTTGTCCTCAACTTCGTCTAGGCCCTCTACTTCCTCAATATCACCATGTCTGGACACTCCGAAACCTAGAAGAAGGTTGCTGAGGATGCGGTTACGGCCGTCACGGCTTTGACTTGGGCAACTGGTGGGTATAATCGGTTATATGAATTAAATTAGCCAAAGAATTGCTAATTTATCCAACAACCACCGCCGCCGCCTCTCTTAGTTTGCACGCAAGATCTTGGACACCGTTGACAGTAGGTGAGGGCATCCCCGGGCTAAGATATAGTGGAGGGGTGGAGAAGAAGGAAAGCTGCAATGAGCCCCGACGGCCGTACGAGCAGAAGGAGGTACGCTTGTCAGGATCGCCATCGCAAGTCGCCTCTCTAGACTCATATTTATTCTCTCTATCTGTCCCATTATCATTATGCTATAACTGAAAAACAAGATCCTTTTTAACCAAAAAAACTAGAAACATGACACAAATCTTAGAGCAACAACTGACGATGTGTATATGGGTGGATGGTGTGTCCCTGTTATCCATGTACGGTAGAAAAATCATAGCGGATGAGTTAGCTAGCTTGGATAGGATATCTCCACCTAATACTTGGCTAGATTCGGCCCGGTTGCTGCAATCCCGAAGGGTGCAACCATTCTGATAAATGAATAAAGAAAGTTTGCAGTGCAAAAGAAAAAACAACCGACGATGAGTATGTGTGTGGAACTGCAGACGAGGATGCTACATCGACGGGCTCTGGCTTTACGGACAGGTGTGGAGCTGTCAACTAATCATTGGATTAAGGTGAGGAAGGGATCCCACCCACCTGAAAATCAAGGGGGGGCTCATGTAAGAGTTTGTATGTTTAGCATTTTTGAACTGCGGACGGTGTATCTCTGTCAAAAATACTACATCTACAAGGCTTTACAGGTTGTTACGGGCTCCTCCCAAATTTCATAAACATTGTCCCCGTAATTTTCATGGGGATGGGTCCCCTTCCCAGCTAACACCAAATCAAAAACTGTCACATAAAATCAATCCTTTAAACTCTTGTAAAAACCAGTATGTGTAGCATTGTTGGTATCTCTGTACATCCATGTGCGGTAGAAAAATCACTCTTGGACAAAAATCGAGCCTATCAAAACACACCGTGTTCCACTTGTCTTCCTCACACGCACGCACGGTCCTTTTATGGTGGGTAAATTTTCAGTGCCGTGGATGGTCAAAAAGCATGGAGTGCCGTGGTGCGCTTGGCCTCCTACTTCAACCGCACGATTGATTGAATTCCACGACGGGCGGGCGTGTAAATCCCTACGGATGAGGCGCTGGCTGGGCGAGCGACTGATTGAGAACGATTGTACGACGTGTTAATCCATCTGGAAGACAAAACGTGGACACTAGCTACTACATCACGCGCCAGAGCCAATATTGCTGTTCAGTGCACCACAGATATGAATTCCACGACCGGCGCTAAGGAGGACCTGATGATGGCTACACGAGTGTGTGGCAGCGTACGTTAACAGACGTATACTGATTGAGTACGAAGCTAGAGCCCATTCATCTAGAAGACTAGATTTCCCGTGCAGACGTGTACGTTCACAGACACGGTTAGATCACCATCACCAATATCTCGCTGCAACTTCATTGTCCTTTTTTACTTTGCCCGGCTGCTTATAAGCAACTGAGCTCCTCATTTCTCCGGGAGAGCTCCAGTCCAGAGTGAGTACTTACAGAGCCAATCACTCCAGACGTCGGTTCGCCATGTCGCATCTCCTGCAGAAACTTTTGCCAGAGACCCTGCCACGGGCATGGTTATTTCTCTTCCTCTTCTTCCTCGTCGTGTCTGTGCAGTACTGGATCACCGGAAAGTTCGGTGCAAAAAGGAGGCAGCGCCTCCCGCCTTCACCGCCGGCGCTGCCCATCATCGGGCACCCCTCATCGGTTCCCTCCCCCACGTCTCCCTCCGCAGCCTAGCAAGGAAGCATGGCCCCGACGTGATGCTCCTTCGCCTGGGCGTCGTGCCCAACCTCGTTGTGTCCTCCTCACGCGCTGCGGAAGCAGTACTGCGCACTCACGACCACGTCTTTGCATCACGGCCCCACTCCGTCGTCTCTGACACCATCATGTATGGCTCGGCTGACATCGGCTTTGCCCCATACGGTGAGTACTGGTGGCAAGCAAGGAAGCTCGTCACCACACACATGCTGAGCGTTAAGAAGGTGCGGTCTTTCCGCGGCGCCGCTGCAGAGGAGGTACCGATTTTTAATTATCTTTAAATTTCCAGGTGCTGATAGCCTTTCTTTTAAGATCTTGCTCTCATTATTCTCGTACTGATTTGGACTCTCACTTATGTCAGAAACAAAATAACGGAAAGGACTTTCATGTAGTCCTCTGCTAACTGTTTCTCTCTCCGTCCGGGTTTATTAGTTTCGCTCATAGTTTGCATAGTTTGTGTTTAATTCTAAAATAAAATTAACTAATAGTAAAACATAGACTTGTGTAAAAAATGATACCACGTGAAACTACTTTTGAATACGAATCCAACGGTAGTTGAATCTATATATGGTCCACCTTTGACCCAAAATATGAGGGAAACTTATATATTAACCTGGACCTATAAAGTACTACATATGTAAATGTTAGCTTCTCATACTTTACGACCCATGCTATTATAGGTCAGCATGGCGATGGCCAAGATCAACCAGGCAGCAGCTGCCGATGCTGCAGTAGACATGAGCGAGCTGCTCCACACATTCGCGAATGACATGGCATGCCGCATTGTGTCGGGGAAGTTCTTCTTGAAAGATGGTCAAAGCAAGTTGTTTCGGGAACTCATCAAGGATACCTCACGGCTGCTAGGCGGGTTCAATTTGGAGGAGTACTTCCCTGCAGTGGGTAGGGTAGGAGTGGTGAAGAAGGCGGTTTGTGCCAAGGCCGAAAGAGTGAGAAACAGATGGGCCGATCTGTTGGACAAGGTGATCGACGATCGTGTGAGCAAGCGCAATTCAACATCTGATCACAAGGATGATGATTTTGTGGATATTATGTTGTCTGTCCAACATGAGTATGATCTCACAAGAGAGCACATGAAAGCTCTCCTGACCGTGAGTACAGATAATACCTTTCATACTAAACAAGTTGAATTGTATATATCTTTCATTGTCCTAATTACATGATATACGCAGGATGTATTTTTTGGTGCAATAGACACATCAGCTAACGCCCTCGAATTCACCTTGGCTGAGCTCATGAGGAAGCCACACCTGATGGTGAGGCTACAAGATGAGGTGAGGGGTATTGTACCCCAAGGACAAGAAATTATCAGTGAGACCGACATGAACAACATGACGTACCTAAGAGCAGTCATAAAAGAGTCGCTCCGGCTACATCCTCTTGCTCCTCTCCTTGCTCCGCACCTTGCCATGGCTGACTGCATCATCGATGGATACATAGTTCCTGCTGGGACGCGTGTGGTCATCAATGCTTGGGCCATTGGTAGGGATCCGAGCTCCTGGGAGTATGCGGAAGAGTTCATTCCTGAAAGATTTACAGATGAAGGCAGCAGCATTCATGTCAACTTCAAGGGGAATGATTTCCAATTCTTGCCGTTCGGAGCAGGACGGAGGATGTCCCCTGTTATGAACCTTGGGGTCGCAAATGTGGAGCTTATGTTGGCAAACCTTGTGTGCCATTTTGACTGGCAACTTCCACTTGGGGTTGAGAGAAAAGACATTGATATGACAGAGGTGTTTGGGCTAACCATTCATCGGAAGGAGAAACTATTGTTATTCCAAAATCACGCATGTAGTCGCGAAAATAAAACAAAGCTAAATAGTGTGTTATATCGCATAATGCTTTTCTTTGTAAAGAAGGTGCTATCGGCAATAATGGTACAAATAAATAATGGCCAATTCTTCCTTCTTATAGCTACAAATATTGTTGTCAGATGTCAATGGAGAAGTTTGACTACTAGTGAAAATCTGCATCTGAACCCGGGCTCAGATGCACCCTAAATCTAAGCCACTCGGCCACATAAAGATTCACGTCACCATATGTATAACTGGTTGTACACCATCCGTATTGGATAGTAAAAAGAGAAATGAGTCAGTCATTAAAACTGGTAGTTGGCCCAACGGCAAGCACGGGACAGGAGTTCAGATCACGTCTCGGGTAAATTTCTGAGCCGTCCTAAGCTGGCACTGACTTACAGCAGTACACACATTCAACCTGCAATTCAAAATTAATCCCCAGCTCATGCTGGATTAAATATTTTCATTGGCTCATCAGTGAATTTCCTTATCGTCTGTTTTCATCCAAGATGCGCAAGGAGTCCATTGGAGGTGCACTGCCCAGCCGTAACCTGCAAACACCATCTTTGCAATCAAATAAACTGAACTGAATAAAAACTCAGGTACCTAATCTATGGAAATCACGCCAATGCCGCTGTCATTAGTCGAATGCAAATCAGGTAACCTGATTCTTTCTGTTTAGAAACTGAACACAACCTATTCACTAATCGCGTGTAGCATCTAGTATATGCATGGATTCGGTGGTTTAGAACAACTTCTATGGAACAGGGAACGTTTTTACCTCTTGGTCAATCTCGGTGCTGCAAGGTTCACCATCCCCATGGATTTAATCAACGACGCGGGCGACGCTTTCTTCCTTGGCCGCACCAACCACATGCAAACAGCTGGAGCCGCCATTGGAATCAGCTCGAGCTGGGAATTGGAGTCCATGAGGTGGAACCAGTGCCAGGTTCACCGGATGCGGCTGCTCCATGTTCTCGTCGAACTCCTCCGCGGGAACCTACCAGTAGCCCACGCACCGCCGCCGCAGACGGCAAACAAAAATCAAATTGACAGCCATGTTCATGTACCGCAAGCAGGAAAATCATAGGATCCGGAAAACGATGAGTACTGACGGGTCCACGGAAACAAATTTCTGTGGGCGACCCCACCGGCACACGTGTCATCAGCTTCCTGTTTGTCGACTCGTTTTTTTGTTGACGAGCACAGCAAACACCCTGGACCGGGCTCATCACGAAGCCGCCGTCCGGAGCCACGGCCCACGGCTCAGACCTATCACCTGTCCCACGGATCCATTAATGCGCGATTTAAATAGACCTCTTGCCTACGGAAAGGGCCCATCATACTACACTGTACCGCATGGTATACTCCCCTATCTAGTTTTCTAACACTCGGCCACTGACACAACAAGACCGTTTTTCAACATCCCTAGGCATGATTCAATTTCTAGGATATTAGGTTCAGCTGGACTTGGGCATCGAATCGCCGGGTCCGACTACTAGCTACTTTTGTTGTTACGTACATATGAAATAAAGTAACACTTCCGCTTCAGTACAACCCCCTAAACACATGAAACGCTGAGATTGATCCATACTCTTTCATAATAAAGGGCATGATGGTCCTATTTCAAATAAGTTTCCGCCCCTATCTGTGCTGTACGTAGAAATATGTACGCCTAATGGGCCACGGGCGACGCGTGCGGGCCAGCCCATTTAATCCTTCTCTTATTGGTTAAGGTCAAAAAATTACTGTGGGCGACCCCACCGGCACACGTGTCATCAGCTTCCTGTTTGTCGACTCGTTTTTTTGTTGACGAGCACAGCAAACACCCTGGACCGGGCTCATCAGGAAGCCGCCGTCCGGAGCCACGGCCCACGGCTCAGACCTATCACCTGTCCCACGGATCCATCAATACGCGATTTAAATAGACCTCCTGCCTACGGAAAGGGCCCATCATACTACACTGTACCGCACGGTATACTCCCCGTATCTAGTTTTCTAACGCTCAGCCACTGACACAACAAGACCGTTTTTCAACATCCCTAGGCATGATTCAATTTCTAGGATATTAGGTTCAGCTGGACTTGGGCATCGAATCGCCGGGTCCGACTACTAGCTACTTTTATCGTTACGTACATATGAAATAAAGTAACACTTCCGCTTCAGTACTCTTTCATAATAAAGGGTATGATGGTCCTATTTCAAATAAGTTTCCGCCCCTATCTGTGCTGTACGTAGAAATATGTACGCCTAATGGGCCACGGGCGACGCGTGCGGGCCAGCCCATTTAATCCTTCTATTATTGGTTAAGGTCAAAAATTAATGCACGCAACATGATTCGAACTCGAAACCTCCTATACTAACACATAGCAAAGTAACCAAGCGGGACAACATACCGCTTGTGTCTAGATTCCATTTTTCCGCTTATTGTACAAAACGAGGTCGCATGCTTGGGCTCGCTCAACAGGCCCCGATGGCGTGCTCGCCCATGGATGTCGCACTTTTCCTTATCTATTTATTATATTGTCTTTCCTTTTTTTGTTATTTCATTTTTTTCCTTTCTTGAGTTTAGTTATTTTTTCGTTCACAATTTTCAACAACTGTTGGGATTTTTTAGAATTTTCTATAAAATAGTTAATGTTTTTAATATTTTCAACAATTGTTTGCACGTTGCAACACGTCCGGTCATTTATCGGTCTTTTTTCATCGAGAAAACTTCAGAAAATACAAAACTTGTTGAAAACGAAAACAATCTACATGATGGCATGAATTGGTGATCCAAGGTGATGGAAAAAAATTGAGGCCATTTGACGGACTCAAAATACTAGGCGTTCAGAAACAGGGCCTTCTAGCCACCCGAACACTCCTTGTCTAAGATGGTTTTTGTTGTACGTGAGAGGAATAACCCTAAATTTTTCTGCCAAGGGTGTGTGCCCATAGTACGCATTCATGCTTGGTTTGAATGAATCGGACATCGTTTGCATGTTGCGACACGTTTGGCCATTTATCGGCCTTTTTTCAACGAGAAAACTTCAGAAAATACAAAACTTTGCAAAAACGATGGAAAAAAGGGGGCCATTTGACAGATGTAAAAAACAAGGTGTTCACAAACTGGCCCTTCTGGCCTACCCGAACACCCTCGGTCTAATATGGTTTTTTGTTGGACACGTGAGGAGTGACCCCAAATTTTGCCACCAAGGGTGTGTGTGCCCGTTGTAGGCATGCATGCCTAGTTTGAATAAATTCGGGCACCGTCTGCATGTTGCGACTAATCTGACCATTTATTGACCTTTTTCACTGAGAAAACTCCAAAAAATACTAAACTTGTCAAAACGGAAACAACTTGGCAAGATGGCATGAATTGGTGATATAAGGTGATGGAAAAAAATTGGCACCATATGACAGATGTGAAAAACCAGGTGTTCACAAACAGACCCTTCTGGCCTACCCGAACACGCTCTGTTTAAATGGTTTTTTGTTGGGCATGTGAGGAATGACCCAAACTTTTGTCAGCAAGGGTGCATGCCCATGGTAGGCATCCATGCTTGGTTGAAAAAAAATCAGGAAATAACGTAGGTTCGCAAAAAAAAAAATCATTGAAAAACGAAGAAAAGGTCATATATTTGGAAAAAAGTTCATCAATACTGAAAATGAGTTCATAAAATTTGAAAATGTTTATCAATTTTAAAAAAGAAGTTGATCAATTTGAGAAAAAAATACAAAATTGAAAATTTTCACCAAGTTTGAAAAAAAGTTCATCGATTTTAAAAAGCTCATGATTTTTTCAAAAAGTTCCTGCAATTTGGAACAAAAATGTTCGGACAGATTGGAAAAGAAAAACAAAAAAGAAAAACGTGCACGAATTTGACTAAAACAGAAAAAAAGGAAAAAAGAAACTAAAACCCAAGAAAAACGAAAATAAATAAATAACCGACTAGCCGACAAGAAGTAAGAGTAAACAAGTATATTACCCAACGAAACGTAGGCTTCCCTTACCAGTTGGTTAGCTTGAGTGCTTTTGAACCTTGAGGTTGCTGGTTCGAATCCCAATCCCACGTACGCATCCTTTTTTGAATTTTAGTGAAAAAAATGTAGCAAAAGGAAATTGTAAAATGGGCCGGCCCATGAGGGAGGGGAGGCGGACAGGATGTGCAAACGCGTATGCGTACGTCCCCAAACAAGACCCAGAGGTGGGTATACGTTTATCTGAAAAGACCATACTACCTTTATACGTTTTGTGAAGGGGGTTGTACCGAAGCGGGTGTCAATCTGCTTTATGAGTAAAAAATAAATATCAGATTTACTAAATCACATCTAGATGATTTTTAACTATGTCACGTCTAAGTTGTCTATCATAGGATTATAAG